TTTTTTTTTTTTTTTTTCAGTACTGGGGATTGAACTCAGGGTCTTGTGCTTGCCAGGCAAGCACTTATTCCACTGAGCTCTCTCTCCAGCCCAAAATTTTGTTTTTCTTGAGCTAGGAATTTACTTTAGCACTGATTTCTTCAAGAAGAGATGAATATAGGGGGCTGGGGAGATAGCTTATTGGAATAAATGCTTTCCTGGCAAGTGCAAGGCCCTGAGTTCGATCTCTGGTACTATCAAAAAAAAAAAAAAAAGTGAATGAATGTAGAGAGTATCTTTTCTTTATATGTTGAAACGCATCAAGATTTTGGTTTCTTTTTTTTTTTTTTCCTGAGACTTTGCCCCCAAAGTGTCTGCTCGAGCTCCACTCTAGGATCTTCTGCTTAATGTTCAGGGTTACCTTTCAGTTTTCATCCAGGAATGTCCAATGTATTCTTTCTTTATTCCTAGCTTTTGGGACCTCATGTCTTTCATGTTTCCCCCACCCCCTCTTTGGTTCTGGGGATTGAAGCCTGGGCCTTGTGCATGCTAAGCACACAGTCTACCATTGAGCTACCTCTTCTTACCCCTCCACCCCCACATTCCCTTTTCTTGGTTTGTTTTGTGAAACACAAATTTTATTAGCTTCCTAAAAATAAGTACAGGGAAGGCAATTCTCTGAAATGTTTGTGTTTGAAAATACTTAATAGTCTTCTTTACTACTCAATTGATGTTTTTTTGTATATAGAATTAGAGGATTTTGAAGGCATTGCTTCCAGGATTGTATGATCTCTTTTTCTCCATTTTTCTCTTGCAATTTTTTGATGCTGTACTTTAGCTTGTTTTTATTGGTATTTTGTAAACAACCTCCTGTAGCAAGCACTAAGCAGGTTTTTTCCTTGATTTTTTAAGTTCTGAGAGATTTTCTCGAACTATTTTTTGATCATAAGTTTCCATTTCCTGTTACCCCAAGGTTGACTTTTGTTCCTACTTTCAGCTTTTTGTTTAAAAGATTTTATCACCTTTATCTCATAGCCCTTCTATTGAGTTTTTTCTCTTGTATTTTTCATTTCCAGAAGCTCTGTTTTCCTTCAGTATGTCTTTCTCTACATCTTCCCTTTTTTGCCTGATGGTTATATTTTCACATCATTCTGACAATATAATTAAATGTCTTTTCCCTGTCTCAGTTTTCTTCTGACCCTTGATCTAACTGGAGGTGCTTTTTGTTTGTTTATCGTGTGTGTGTGTGTGTGTGTGTGTGTGTGTGTGTGTATTTTATTTTATTTTTATTTTTTTTGAGGAACCAGGGATTGAACTCAGGCCCTTGCACTTGCCAAGGAAGTGCTTATTCCACTGAGCCATCTCCCCAGCCCATGTGTATGTATTTTAGGGAAGGGTCTTCAGGATGTTCAGGGTCTCACTACTAGATCAGACTCATAGTGATCTGCCTGTGTACGCCTCCCAAGAGCTGGATTACAGGTGCACACCAGCACGCCCAGTCTCAATTGCTGTCTCATTGTGCCCTGGGTGCCGGACCAGCACAGCAGGCCTGGGGATTGGACCCCTGGTCCTTTTGCCTGCTTGCAAGTGCTTTAATCTGCTGAGCTATTTGGCTGGCCCTTGTTTTTCTTTTTTCTTAAGGATTCTACCTCTCTGGTTGCTGTGGCTGTAATACAGAAGATTAATAACCTGTATAGGATGACCTTGGGTCCCTTTGGCAAACCAAGCCTATGGACAGAAGCTCATTTTTTTGTAAATCAAACAAAATCCATTCTATTGGGCTTCTCTGCGCCCACTGGACTCCTCCAGACCAAAACACAGGCACCCGTGTGAGTGAGACCCTCTACCATGCCATTGTGACCCCTGCAACCTTCCAGAGCCCCCACCCCCAAGCCCACCGAGTGAGTGAGAACTTCTGCGACTCTGTCGGGACCCCCAAATCCAGCCCAAGCCCAGACCTGGCTAGTGTGTGAGAGAGCTTCTACGTTCCCCTGTGCTCCCTGGGCTAGGGGCACAACAGATGGGCACCACAGGTTCACTGTTGTTCCAGAGGGGCACAATAGGTTCACTTCCAAGGGCTGCAGCAGGAAGGAGCTGAACATAACTGCTAGACCCAGGCCAGGCATAACTGGATAAACTCAAACGTAATAGATCTGTACCCGAATTTCAGTAGGTGCTCAGGTTAAAACTGCACCAAAGCTCTACACCAAAGGTGAGAGGTCAGTGCTATACAAAATGACAAAGACAAGGAACAAAATGCAATCTCAGGCCTTGAGCCCACCCATAACAAGTAAGAGGACTCTAGCTCAGCTGAAATGAATGAATTAACAGTGTCAGAAGTAAAGAAACAATAGTAGAAAGGTATAGAGGAACTCAGAGCAGAATTATTTCCTGAAATAAAAGAAGAAATCTCTGAATTCATAGCATCTGAAGAATCTAATATAGAAACATATAGGGGAAACCCAATGCCCACCCAGAACAAGTACAGAGGACACTAGCTCAGCTGCAGTGTATGAATTAACAGTGTCGCAAGTAAAGAAACAACAGCAGAAAGGTATAGAGGAATTCAGAGCAGAATTAATTACTGAAATAAAGAAATCTCTGAATTTATACCATCTGCAGTAAAGAATCAAATATGGAAACATATGGAGGAAACTTAATCTCAAAATCAGTTCTATTATAATGTACTTATCAATATTTTTAAAGTGGTTGTGAGTTCTTTATTAGCACATTGAATAAGATACAGAGCTGGGTGTAAGAACTATCATAATTTTGGAGTAAATTGAATATAAGTGATATTTTGAGATATTTGTATTAACTAATATAAGAAAATAGCTGTGATTTTTTTTTTTATTGGTGACAATCACATTTATAGCCAGTACTATTGTAATCTGTTATTTATGTTTATAAAGAAATGTCTTGTTTCAGTTAGAAGTTAGTGTAGAAGAAAAAGTAATTTTTTTAACACCCCAAGTTTTGGGGCTCTTTGCATTCTAGTGATCAAATATCTGAATTTAGTAGCCTGTCAGATCAGAGTGTGAAACGTATAAGCTGTGGGAGCTTCAAGTAACTGAACAGGCCTGACAACTAGTAGTCTTCACTGGTGCATTGTGGGATGCTGAGATATCAGTACCTACATCTTTCCAAAGGATCCACCACTGCTCTGCCTATGGATTAAAAGTTTGCCCTTTTCTTTTAGACACCTAATTTAACTCTCCTGTATTCTAATAAAATTTACTTTTGTGATTTTAATGAATGGCTATCATATATAATAAATTCCGGTAAAAATTATCTTTAATGTTTTGAAATACTTAATACTTACACCAAAAATATTACAAGAAAACCGGGCTATTCTTATTTAATTTACATTTCATTTTCACCTTACTGTTACAGGAACTCTCAAGTTGTGGATGGAATAAAAAAGAAAAATACAGTTCTGCACCAAATGCAGTTGCCTTCACAAGGAGATTTAATCATGTGAGTTATTTTAAAGATTTTGATCCTTAATTTTTGAAATTCAGCTTTTCAATACATAATTTTTTATTAAACACTCTAATCATGTCAATTTAGAGATATTTTCAGCCAGTCTCTTCAACCAACATTCTTTTTTTTTTCCCCCCGGAACTAGGGATTGAACTCAGGCCCTTGTGCTTGCCAGGGAAGCACTTATTCCACTAAGCCATCTCCCCAGCCCCACAGTCTCTTCAAGTATTGTGTATATTCCTGATCTTTGTTTTTTTTCTTTCTTTTTTTTCCATAATTTTATTGATAAACAAATAGCGATGAGACAGTTTCAAACAAAATTGGTAGGACAGTTTCAATAATTAACACATCGCATACATTCTTCCTAGTGGTTATTTTCTGTACAAGATGCGGGCATGATACCCTATTTACAAACACTATTAGAACAAATCCCTCTATTCATTAAGAGAATGTAACTATAT